TAAGACCTCTTCTAAGTAATTAACAATGAGATCTAAACAGTGTCATGACAGCTTCAGTGCAGAGAAAGTAAAGAAGAATTTCAAGTGTTCTGATTCTTCACTCACTGTGAAGAAACACTAAAAAAGATTTGACAAAGATCTCTGTTTCAACTGTGGAGCTGATGATCACTATATCAGTGATTGCAAGAAGTCAAAGAAGAGAAGGAACTGAGAAGACATCTTCTCAAAGTTAACTCCTCTTCTGACAAATGTATCTGCGGAAGATAAAGAAGAGAAAGAAAAGGATTGATAATTCTCATGTCTCTGAGTTCATGTTATGATCACAATGCATACTCTGAATGAGGAGATACTAGTGAGATGCCTACTCAACTTCAGAGTGAATATTAACTTCATATTCTATTCCTTTTCTTTGATGAAGGATTGAAAGAAGATAGATCTGTCAGACCATGCAAAATTTACAGATAGAACAAAATGCCACTGTTTTGACATAATTCAAGCAAAGTGTGTGATCACAGACTCAGAAGAAATCTTCAAGAAGAGCAGTCTGCTTCTTCATGCAGTCAACATCATAGATGAGGATATCATCCTAGATCTTCTGTGATTGAGAGAAAACAATTCTCTCATTGACTGAGTCACTCAGGCATGACAGTATTGCCTCACTGATGAAGAGACAGTGATAGAGAAATCTGAAGAGTTTCATCAGAAGAATCTTGAGAAAAAGATTAAGTTAATATACTGTGTAGCAGGTGATTAAGACTTGAAAACAGGTGAAGAAGTCATCATTCTCACTGCAAGATTAGCAGCAGTATCTGTCATTGAAGATGAATGTACACAACATCTCTTTACAGATTTTAAGAATGTCTTTTCAGAAAGAGAAGCAGTGAAGTTTCCTGATATCAAGGTGTGATATAAGATTCATCTTGAAGACAGTGCAATGATACTGTACAGGCCTCTTTACAACTTGTCTGTAAAGAAGTTGAATGTTCTGTGCAAATATCTTGAAGAAGTGCAATCAAAGAACTGAATACATTCATCAAAGAGTTCAGCAGGGACATCTATACTCTTTATGTTTAAGAAGAATGATAGGCTACATCTATGCATAGACTACAGAGGCCTCAATAAGGTGATGATTAAGAATTGCTATTCATTATCATTAATCAACAAGATAATCAATCAATTATCTGAAGCAAAGATGTTCTTAAAGATTGATATACAGAATATCTATCATAGGATCAGAGTTAACAAAGACAACATTTAAAAAACAGCTTTTCATACCAAGTACAGCAATTTTGAATATCTTGTTTTGCCTTTTGATCTTTGTAACACTCCAGCCATCTTTCAGACCTATATAAATGAGACACTGTGAGGCCTTGTCAACATCTCCTGCATAGTATACCTGGACAACATTTTAATCTTCTTGAAATCAGAGAAAGAACATGATATCCATGTTCAAGAAGTGTTGAGTTGCTTGAGACAGCATCAACTCTATGCAAACACTGAAAAATGCTCATTCTACATGCAGGAGATTGATTTCTTAGGTTATATTGTTGAAATGAATGGCATTTCAATGGACAGGAGCCGGGTCTCTGTCATTGAGAACTGGCTGGCGCTGCAGATGTACCACAAGGTGCAGGTGTTTCTAGAATTTGTGAATTTCTACAGATAATTCATCTATGCATATTCACAGATTACTGCCCCTCTTACAGATCTGTTGAAGAGAAGTGTGAAAGACAGGAAAATGAGATCATTTACTCTCACTCAAGACACCGTGCAGGCATTTGTAGAATTGAAACAAGCTTTCACAGATGTCACAATGCTGAATCATTTTAACCCTGACTTACTCAGTCAGTGTGAGACTGATGCATCTGAGAATGAGATCTGTGGAATCTTTTTACAGTTGACATCAGAGGTCTTTCAACATTGAAAGAATCAGGGGATAATCATCTCTGAGAAAACAGGCAATGAATTGTCTGTGAGAGAAGGCTTTTTCACAGAGTCTACAAGATGCTGTGAATGAAGATCAGTGATCTTCTTCTTCAAGAAGTTATCACTCACACAGAGAAGGTATAATACTCATGATCAGAAGATGTTAGTAATTGTTGAATCCTTTAAGATCTGGTGACATTATCTTCAGAATAGTAAGTACCCAGTGCAAGTCCTCACTGATCATGCAAATCTGCATTACTTCTTGACAACAAAGAGCTTAACAGGATATCAAGCCAGGTGGGTGAAGCTGCTTTCAGAGTATGATTTCTATATTCAATATTATTCAGGTTGGCTTAACCCTGTCAATATGCTGTCTAGACAGCCTGATTATAATATTGTTGATGTGGAGAAGGATTCTATAAAAGAATCTCTGTCATCACTGCAGAAGAAGCTGGCTGCAGGGGGTTGAGATTCTCTAAAGCTCAGGAACAGTGCTGGAGAGACAGCTGTGCGACTCAGTATAGAAGGTGAAAGAGAACCCGGGTCCTCATGGGAGACTGACACTGAAGATCATGAGCTTCTCATGTCACATCTTGCAATCATTGAATTGATAAAGAATGAAACAGTCTACAATCTTTCAATCTGACTACTTTTGAAATTCATTAATAAGTTACAGAAGAAGGACATCTCTACTGCAGCTTGAATTCAAAAGTTGAAGAAGAAAGAATTCAGTTTAAACTTGAAAGAGACAGACTCTGAGCAGGGCAGTGCTGCTAAGAAATCAAGTCACTGATAACTAGAAGAATGTGAACTTCTACTGCTAAATGATTCAGTCTTTGTCTCTCATAGCAGAGCGGTGTGTCAGGAGTTATTGAGAATTCATCATAATGATTCTCATACAAGACACTTCAGGTTAGAGAAGACTGAGAAGCTTCTAAAACATAAATACACTTAAGACAAGCTCTGAGCAGATGTCAAAGAGTATGTTGAAACTTGCAATGTCTGCTAAAGAATAAAGATTCTATGGTATAAGTAATACAGTGAGTTGATATCACTGCCTGTTTCAAAGAGCTCATAGCAGAATCTATCAATGGATTTCATAGTTGACCTGCTGAAGTTGACAAGAGTCAAAGAATATGACTCAATTTTAATCATTGTTAACTGCTTCATGAAGATGATCAGATATATCTCTATTTATAAAAAGGTTAAAGCCTCTGAATTGACTGACCTGTTTTTAGATATCATCATTCATGATCACAGTGCTCTGAAATCATTGATAACAGATTGAGAATCCCTCTTCATCAGTAAATACTGATCAGCTTTTTGCTATCATCTTATAATAAGATGTCTTCTCAGTACTGTATTTCACTCACAGACTGATGATCAGACTGAATGCCAGAATCAGACACTAGAACAGCATCTTTGAGTGTTCTGTTCATATCATCAGAATGATTGACTCAAACATCTTCTGACTGCTGAATTCATATATAACAATGCAAAGAATGCAATCTTAAAGGTATCTTCTTTCTATGCTTGTTATGAATATAATTCTTTGTTACTCAGTGATGTTGTGAATGACATTTCAAAGAAGAGAATAGATAGTCAGAATGTCAGACAGATACAGAGAATGAAGTATTTCTCAGTATTAGAAGTAAAAGTGAGATTGAAACTTTTGAATAAAATTCATGAGAAGATGATGAAAAGCATTCACTGCACTCAGAAGCAGTAGATGAAATACTATAATTAAAAACATCTTCTGATGAAGTTCTTAATAGAGAATCAAGTGCTACTTTCAGCAAAGAATATCAAGATAATGAGATTATATAAGAAGCTCAGTGAGTAGTGACTAGAATCTTTCTCAGTAACAAGAGTGATGAGTAAGCAGGCATATGAGTTGAAATTACTCACAGAATTGAAATCAATTCATTCTGTTTTTCATATTTTCTATTTGAAGCTCTATAAGCAATGCTCTGAAGTGAAGCTGTCTCAGCTGAATGATATCAAGATTGAGAGTGATACTGAATATCTTATAAAGAAAATATTGAATAAGTGAATACATTATGACAAGCTTCAATATCTCATTAAATGAGAAGATTATTCATTATCAGAGAATTTATAAGAACTGCTTGAGTATTTGAAAAATACTGAGAAAGAGATTGTAATCTATGAGATGACTAGTAGAGACTGCTCTGTTATACATCAGAGATGTTGAGTAAGAAACACTGCTTAAGACTTCTCATTTTTCTCAAAGAGTTTTTTAGAGATAATCTTGCAGTGATGAGTCAGTGTCTTGTAGACTCTGTAGCACTCTTCTTCTATTTTCTCTCAAAGAGTTTTTAGAAGTTTAATAAGACTACACAAGTGTAACATTTCTGAAGCAGTTAAAAGAAAAGAGATATTTGAAATCAATAAAAAGATTAATATTATTGACCTGCAGACTGCTGCTATTCTAATGAGGTCACAGCCTGCTGAAAAAGTAAAAAGAGAGATCAGAGCCTACTTGCTAATAATTATATTCTCATCAAACTCATTCTTCACTATTGAAGTCTTCAGTATCAGTATCTTTATCTACTGAGAAGTTAGTACTGCAGTACTGCAGAGAAGCATGCTACAGAAGAGTATGAGAGATACTGAAAGTGTCAACTTATTAACTTACAAAGTATCTCAGTTATCTGCTTCAACTGAAGTGAGATTCTCTTCAATCAGTGATTGATCTCTGCAGTGCTTTCAATGACAGTGCTGACTGACTCTTTCTTGAAGTCAGTCATTCTGAGGTGTTTTTTTATCTCAGAGATTCACACTTTCATCTTCTTTTGCAGATGAATAAGAGAGACCTTCTCAGTCTTGATGAAATTTATCAACACTTGAAGCTCTGAGATTCTTGCTCTGTACTGCTTGAGCATCTGAGCTTCTTGTCAGAGCTGATACAATATCTTCTTGTAAGATAGATAATACTTATAGAGAGATAGAAGTCATTGTTGCAGATACAATGAAAACAATGAAAGTGAGAGAAGAAGTGAGTGTATAAAATCCCTCTCTTCTTCAGCTGCTTAGTGCAGTGCAGATAAGTAGTGATGCTGGCCAGAGGCCACACTGGAGCCTTCTCACAGGGAGAAGATGAAGGAACCGCGGGACTCTGCAGACCCAACCCAGCAGCATCCCAAGCAGGGCTCAGGTGTGCCGCGGGAGGAGAACTATGGATTGGGCTCCTTGAAGCCACTGTCTTCAGAATCAAGCTCTCCCCGGGTTCCTCTCTGAATGACCACATGGGATCATACACCACTGTATTGGCTGGGGGGGGGGGCGGCGTTGCAATGGCGGCGGGGGGGGCAGGGGATGGACCAGATGCAGACACACCAGCCGGCAGAAGGGACAACACCTCACTGCAGGGCATGGCAACTTCCACCGCGGCTGCAAGAGAAGCAGGAGGAGGTGTGGCAATGAAAGTGGTGCTCCCGCGGCTCATTGACACTGCCACCTCCAACCTGGCTTTCTTGGCGGCCACAGAGGCCGCCGCTGCATCATGAAGATGTTTGTTACTCACTAGAAAATGTCAGAATAAGCCCTCTACTGTCCTTCAAGAATGATACTCTCATGCACTCACTATTGCAGATGGGGGAGGGGGGAGAAAAATGTGTCACAGAGAGAGAGATCTTTTGAAAAAATCCTGTCACTACTGTTAGCTTTGCCTCTAAAATACATCACTTTTGCAGAGAATTTCATATATAGAATGGAATATGTTGAGAGATCTGTAAGTCACTTGTTAACTACATTTTTCCACATTTCAAATTGATATATAAGGAACCCACTTATCATGTGTTTGATTTGAATGAAGATGGGAAAAGAAAGATCTATGCAGTCAGCAGAAAAACTCATCTTTGTGTCATGCACAGTACATGCACTGTCAATTAGTTAGCAATCATTGCTATATAATAAAGATAATTTCTAATTCAGTAATCTTGAGAGCATAGAGACTATGCTCTTAAAGAGAAGGGCATTGTCATGCTTTCAGCTGTGTCAAGGCTCTGTTATAGTTTCACACAGCTCATTGCTTCCATGCGGATGATTTCATTCATTCTGTATTCTGTCTGAACCAGTTTTCAACCACTCTATGACATCATTCAGATATATCATAGAAAGATTTGATTGATGAGTATGAGAACCTCACTTCTATATAAGATCAGCAGATTACTCTTCCTTGGCAATGAGGCATCACTGAGGTATTGCTTCAGCTATTCTTGCTTATGAAATGAGAGAAGAGTATCTGCCTATTATCTATATAGAATAGCTAGATGCTGGCTTCTCATCAAAGAAGTCAGTGATTTGTTTTACTGCTACTGGAATATACACAAGAGTTACTGTGTGCCTCATACAATCTTCTTAGTATATTAAGTACCATATCTGTGATATCCTCGCAATAACTCTGTAGCCTATGAGCTCGCTATTCAAGCAAGATAGTCAAGCCCACTTATACAGCTTCTCAAACAACCACCTCTACGTGTCGCCGCTGACTAGTCACTGCTTCGGTTCCGCCACGTTACAAACATAGTCTGATCTGTGAGAGAGTTCATCTGCTGAGTTCTTAGTTTTCTTAATATATTCTATCTTGAATCAGAACTTACTCAGTCTCTGAGCTCAGTGAATCTGTCACTGTAAGAGTTTCTTAATTAAAGTAAACTGTTATAAGCTGTTATAATCAGTTCTAACAGTAATCATTATTATAAGATTCTTAAAGTAGTGATATCAGTAATGAAAGAATTTCACTATTATAAGAAGCTTCTGATTATGAATACTATAGTTAATCTCTACAGATTGCATCTTTTATAAGAAAAAGATTACTGAAACTCAGTTCTTATTTAACTGTAGTTATAAGACTATTTCTGAAATTATAAAGAAGAAGACATCTATCTTTAATCTGATTAAGAGTAAGAGATCAAAGTGAAACAGTATTATTATATCTATGAATATCTGTTTTAATCTTACAAAGATCTTATAAACTTCTAAGATAAGAAATTTCTCACAGTTCTTTCTTCTTAATAATCTTTTTATTCTCTATTTATGAAATAACTTCTTCTTATTTTCACTCTTCAGCATATCTGTAAGAGTTAAGAAGATTCTTATAAATATAAAGATAAATTATCTATAGAAATTCATAAAACTCAGAAAGATCTGAATTTTATGAATACTAGTTAAATTCAGTTATAATAGAATAGTCTTAATCTGTGAAGATTTCATCTGAATATTATTTACAGTGATTATATATTCTAGAAAATTAATCTGACAGATACTGAAGTTGTACTTTATAAGCTTAATATACAGTTCTGTCTTATCTAAGACCTTTAATATACTTTGTACATGCTCAGTGTGTTCTTTCTTCTTCATAGAGTACATCATCACATTATTCAGATATATTATTATAAAGATATTCAGATATACATGAAGTGTTTTATTAATAAAAGACTGAAAAGCTGTGAAAGTATTAGTCAGATTAAAAGATATCACTAGATATTCAAACAATCTCAGTGCAGTTCTAAAGACAGTCTTTTATTCATTCTCAGACTATATTTACAGCTGTGTATATACATTGATTATATTCAGTTGTATGAATATGACAGCTTCTGTAAAATAATTGATTACATTCTCAATCAGAGATAGTGAGTAGTGACTCTTTATTATCTTAAAGTTCAGATTATAATAGTTTATATACAATCTGAGATCTTTATTCTTCTTCTTTATAAATATTACAGAGACTTCTGTGAAGATCTGTGAAGATTGAATAAAGTTATTCTTCAGATTCTTCTTTACATAGGTCTGTAAGACCTCTGTCTTATAATGAGAGAGCTTATAGATTGATTCTCAGAAGAGTTTCTACTCTTCTATTAAATTTATTACTAGATTCTTCTTATAGTGAGAAGAAAGCTCAGCTATCTTTACTGAACTGAATATCTCTGTAAGATCTCAGTATTTCTCTGATATCTGAAGCTCAGTTTTTATAACTGCAAGATTCTCAGACACTTGTAAAGTCATTATATAGATAAGCTTATCTTCTCTAAATAACTCTGTAGTATTAACTGATTCTATCTCTGTAAGTAAGTCTGTCAATACTGATTGAAAGTATAAACCTGACTCATAGACAGCTATGTGTGAATTATGTCTTTAAAGTTATACAAGTCTCAAGTACATATTATCTATAATATCTATGATAATCACAGTTTCTATAAATCTTCTTCAGATTTCAGAGAGATCTTGCAATTCAAAGATAATTCTTATAAGTCTTTCAGCTCTCAGATCTGAGTTCTCATATTCTGCTTATTATAAGAGTAAATTCTCAGTTTTCATCTTTCAGCTTATTCACTCTGTGAGCTTTAGAGACACTACAGTGATCTGAGATTCTAAGTTTATTAATACTTTTTATACTTGCAGAGTAGTAGTACTGTGATATAATCTCTCTCTATAAGTAAGTATTTTCATCAGAGAAGCAACAGATTCAGATATCAGTTTCAAGACTCTTAAGAAGGCTGTTACTGACTCTGTCTGTAACTTCTTAAATTTCTATTTTAATTTATCTGAATAGTTTGTGTAAAGATGTTCTGATTTAGAATAGATAAAATAGAGTCTCTTTTTCTTGATCTCTCTGTTATTTGACTGACCGTGTGACCGTGTCTGAGACCAGGACCAGATTTTTTGATAGTTTCATTACCAATTCGACTGATCCCATTACACAGTTTTAACATTAGATAGTAGTTTCATACTGTCTCAGTGAGACTTACTGTCTACTCTTGTCACATTTTTCAAATAAGATCATAATTTTCACTTCTCAATTTAAATTATTTTTATTGCTTTAAATGACTTTAAATCTCATTTGAGCATTACCAAAAAGCATTACTTTTTAAAAAATTAAAAATAGTCTAAAAAAACCTTAAAATGTCTAAAAATAGTAACTTTATGTCAAGAATGGGACTAAATGAGACCAAATGAGATCACTTTCTCATTTTTTTCAAGTCATGGTTTCATTTTAAGATCTGATATATAGTCACTTTACCTGTTTTTTTGATAGCCAGTCCCAGCGGGATTCACGCCAAGAAATGTATGAGACCAGATCAAATAAGATCAAACGTGAAATTCATGATTCTGACAGTCAGTCTATCTGTTATATACTCTATTTATAAGAGCTTGTGAAACTCTCTCTCTCTACTCAGTAGTCAGATATAAATCTCTCTATATTTTATTATCTTTTTCTAATAAATCTGTTCTCTGTTATTCTGACTCTTACAGAACTGATCAGTAATTCACTCTCTATAAGTCTATAACTCTCACAGTGATCTGTAAGTAATGAATAAGAGTTATCAGTTTCTTCAGAGTCAAGAACTTAGAGTCTTACTGAATAAGCTTATTCTATATATCTTTATTCAGTCTCTTTATAAATATTATCATTCAGATCTTGTTTCAGAGCTCTGTTTTCACAGATCTTAATTCATATTATAATTTTATAAAGTGCTGTGAGTAGTCTTCATCAGATTTCTCATCTCTTTTTCTAATATTAATGATTGTAATTCAGATGTTCTCTGTTCAACTCACAGAGTTTCTCAACTTATTCTCTAGATAAATCTTAAGAACAGATCAGTAGAATCTCTTATAATCATTCTCTAGATAATTCAGTCAGTTCTTAACTTCAGTATAATAGAGATCTGTTATTATGTAGATAATAGCTTCTTCATCTTTTATATCACACAGTCAGACTTATAAGTCAATTTCAAATATAAACTTGTAAAATCTTTTATAGATTATAATTCAATAAGTGATCTTAAGTGATTATAGCTTAAGAAAGTTTCTTTTCAGTTCATAGATATCTCTGAAGATCATATCTAAAGACTTAGTTCAAGAGTGTTTATAAGTAGTAAGCATTTCTTATAGAAAAATAGCTTAGTCTTATAAGAGATACTCAAGAATATTCTTCACACTAAGATTGATTTATTTATGAGTTTAAAGAGTTTCTCTATCACAGATATAGAAAATAATGTTTTATAAGTAATTAATAAGTTCTCTAGAACTTCTTTTATAAAGATTATTTATAATTCAGATAACTGCTTCTGAGTGTCTATAGTAGAGTTTACAGAGATTAAAGTATATAAGTTTTTAGTTCTTTCAGTTATAACAGATGATTGCTGACTAACTGAGCTTGAAATATAAGAATAAGTACTCACAGATAATTATTCAGATGTTTACAGCTTGATATAATATATACTATTAATTACTAGAAGTATTCATGATAGAAAGATAAAATATAGAGATTAAATATATAATAGCATTTAAGCTGAGTTATGAATAGTATTTATGAACTTCAGTCTATATAGTTGTATGTAGTCAAGAGCCGCTAGCCCTATTGATTATATGAGAGATAGAAATAGAGGTAAAGAATCCGCGAGAAGCGGGATTTCTTACATATATAAGAGATTAAAATAAAGATAAAAAATCTATAAAAAGTAAGATTTTTTACACTGTTTTACTTTTTATTACTATTATTATTTTTATTATCTTACAGTCTCTCTCTACTATAATTAATAAAGAAATTAGTATATTTTAAAATATATAACTGCTTACAAAGTTTAGTTTTTTACCACTCTGTGCTCTGTATATTTTTAATTAATAAGCTCTGTTTGATTACAAATTGAATGAATATGATTGGTGCGTGTACATGGTAACACTAGTATAAAATACTCAAAAAATACCCATTTGACTCAAATGTCAATATAGACTGCCGTAGTAGCCGAGTATCAAACCCATGCATCTGGTGCCGGCCTTTCTGATAGCCGGAGAGCCAGTGGCAGCCATGCTGCAATATTAATATTTAAAAAGTTGAACAACTGCAACAACTTCGAAAAATCTTGCATGAAAGGAGATCACGTTATTGCCTCCTGCCTGCGCTAATTTACGTCCCTTGCCAACGGGTTTCCTTCTCACCCAAGTCGACGAGCGAGCTGAAATGGCACTCAGCAGGATCAGAGATGAAAATCTCTTTATCAGCGGGTAAAGTCATTTTTACCCCTCATTTTGACCCCTTCCGCTGGCCGTATCCAAGCACCCACGGTTGTTTGGTTGGCTGGCCCCTTTTTTTTTCGCGACATCCCTCTTTCCATTATTTATTCGATGTGATTACTGACTAATTACTAGGATTATGAGCCTGAGCAATAAAAGTGCCCTCATGAAAGCAAATATCACACATATTGTTTCTGTACTTCGGTTAAATCCAGACGAGGAGCGCTTTGAGTCTTTTGAACATTTACAGATCCCTGTGGACGATGTCAGTGATGAAGACCTCTTTCGGCATTTCCCCACTACGAATGCCTTTATCAAATCTGGCCTGGATAGCGGTGGCGGGGTGCTGGTACATTGGTGAGCTAATTATCCATTGTCTGGGGCTGAAATGAACACGTCAAGGGGTACTTGTCCCACAGCTGGGTTTAACCAAAATAACTGGTCCCTTCGCGAACACAGGCTATATTCCCGCTCTAAACAGATATATTTTATGTAACCTTCTGAACTTCATCACTATGCTTCCTATTTCAATCTGTTTCTTTTTATAGCCCTAAGAATAGGATCCATTGCTTTCCTGTCGCGAACAAATGTTACCTCGGCTAACATTAAAATCGTAACAGCGCGATGGGCAAATCCCGATCTGCAACTGTCTGTATTGCATTTCTGCTTCACCGGGACCCTGGTGCATTAACGCCCTGGGGGGCTCTTGAACTAATTCGTCAGTCAAGACCACTATGCGAACCAAATGGCGGGTTCCAAGAGCAATTGGAACTCTATCACAAAATGGGATGCCCAGACAATGTCACTGACCATCCCTTGTATAAACGCTGGGTATACGAGCGAGCGCTCGAAGAGAGTGTTGCATGTGGCCGTGCTCCTGAAATTGAGCTCGTTAGATTCGAGGATGAGTGCGCGGAGCCCTCAAATAAAACCGACGAATCTACGGAAATAAAGTGCCGCAAGTGCCGGTTAGACCTTCTTTGTCCCCGTTTATCCCCTCCTCTTGGAGATCCTATCTATGTTCTCTTCTATTCCTGTCCACTTAACGGAGGTTAGCTAACTAATGATTCCCACAGACGCAAATTGGCAACTCTTCCCTTCATAATCCCTCACACACCACAAACTGACAAGCGATTACCGCGAGGTCATACTATCCCGGAGGGACCGTGTGCTCATATATTCTTACATCCGCTAACGTGGATGCGGCCCTCTCTCTTCCCTGAACAAGACAGTTCGTCGCCAGCAGCCAACTCAGCTGATGAATACAAATATACTCCTGAGGCACCACTTTCCGGACGCCTCACGTGCCCTAATTCCGCCTGCGGCGCCAATATTGGAAAATTCGCATGGCAGGGCATGAAATGTAGCTGCGGAAACTGGGTTGTGCCTGCAATTGGCTTGGCGCGGGCGCGAGTAGATGTTGTGGACAGCGTTGTGCGGTGGGGGACGATTGACGCTTCAGCTGGAATCAGAGTACCGGCCAGGATTGGAGGGGTAGCAGGTGGGGGAGTAGGAGGAGGAGCATCAACCGCGGCTGATCCCGCCGGAGGCCGGGGCCTTCTATGAATATTTGTCATAATTTTCAAAATTTCAACAAGGAAGCACCAACACTTCTTCTAAGGGGCGTGCGTTTAACAAGACAGGTTAGAAATGTTAAATGACAAGCGGAATACATTACCTACTGATACATCCCAATATGCCTAGCTTTGATTATCGGCTTGCGATATCTTTACGAATTGATACATCAACTGTCGGATAATCTCCCCAATGCCACACTTCTGATTTAACACAATTTTTTTTTTTTTTTTTTTTTTTTTTTTTTTTTTTTTTTTTTTTTTTTTTCCCAAATTGAATTTCAATCTCAATTTCAGTTTCTCTGCTTTACCTTATTTGTTTCTATGAGACAGATTACAGATCTAAGCTGTCTTACAATACTAGGACGTAAGCACTATCAGGATGGGCTTGGAAGGATCAGCTCCAAGGATCAGCCTTTCAAGGGATCTTCTGATCCGTGCTCGAGCGAAAAGCTAGGAAGCCTTTCATTCGTAGCGAACAATCATTTGTTCCCTACGAAGGCCTATGACACCTGTGGGCCCTGGTACGGACTCCATAAAGGAACAAACAACGCCAAGAATTCTTACGCTGTACACCATCCCTGGTTTGCTGTCGCTTGATACATGTCTGAGCGAGACAAGCTTGGGCAGGCTGCGGGAAAAGATATTTCGCTGATGCCTCCAAAGGTCGAGCAAGAATCGCGTCAGTCATTGCAGGCACCCGTCATTGCAACGTGTAGCGAGTTACAGCAGTCATCCCGTTTCTGTTTTGTTGTATCTTGTCATAAGCCGTTTGAGAGATGCTCTCGAGTGATGATGTCTGGCGTCCGCTAAAGAACAACACTGATCCACTGCGCCTTGGTAGGCCTCAATATCGCAACAGCCATGATATCAGCACACCATTCAGCCCTATTTCGTTCCACCCAGCTTGATGGCAGTAATAGAGTTCCCAGCGCATCCTGAGAGAATATTAAATTCCTTGTATAGCGAGCGAGCTTACGGAGTGTTCGGCAAATATAAATCATCCAACTGAGCGGGTCTGAGTGGAGATTAGTCGACCTACGGCTTCCTCCCTCTCAGACACACACTCCACGCAGTGATATTCCTTTAAAAAATGCCAACTACAGGGGACAGAAATACGATGATAGGTGCAGGATTACATCCAAGCCAGAGGTGAATTTTTCGATCGCCATAATTAACCTTTCAGATACTGAACCTTACTACAGATTAAATTGGGTATTCGGGTGGATTAGTAGTTGCCGTTGAAGATGGCAGATAAGATCAGATCTGGGGCCACCTTTTCATTCAACCAACCATCTAAGTCTGTGGCAGCAGAAATACCAGCAGCTGGCGATTCCTTCGCGCTGAGCCATAAAACAGTTCCTTTTTCTGCTTGGATCCTGATACGAACGAGATGCGCCACTTCAGCCCGTTCGTTTCCTGCAGAAAACACGCCAGCCCTATCGCCAAGAAAAGACCAGGGCTAACTTACCAACTAAGTTAGCCTAACCTGTTTTAACCTAGATATGCACCGGCACGTGTCCATCCTCAACCTCGAGAATTCTCCCCAACGGCCGCCATCATCAGGTAACCAGCACCATTTCGCCTGAGTCATCTTGGAAGGCAGCAGGATGCCACGGAGGGGAAGTGCTTGATGCTGTCATAGCCCATGGTTCTGCTTGTGGAGCAAAACACAAAACCCTCATTTCTTGCTGAGGCATGTTGTGCAACGGATCATCTTACATCTCACATCCCAAAAACAACAGGGATGCGTCTAGCCTTGGGACCAGCTACTGCATCTTATCCTGTAAAAGAGAATTCCATTTTCCAACAACACTCCTTCCGCCCGACAGGGAAGCAGAATAAGGATATGCCGGACGAATTCACCTCCCTACATTTCTCTGAAGAGTTCGTCATCGGCTGTGGAACAGTCTCCATCGACCTCGCGAAGGACCTCGTGCTCCTCCTTTACTGTCGCAAAAGGCGGCAATACCATCTCCCCAAGGGCCGCAAAAATGTCGGCGAAAGTCTCGAAGACGCTGCGATCCGCGAGACGTTCGAAGAATCCGGCCACAAATGCCGTATCTTACCCCACAACCTTGTGACGCTTGCACCAAGATTACAACGTCTCACACGCCCATAAAGAGCCACTAGCCGTCCAGCAACGCAGGGGTAGTGGTCCACACCGGATTATTTTCTGGTACCTGGCTTCGGCTGATTCCACGGAGCTGCCAGTCGTGGGCACACAGGAGGCATGGGAGGATTTTGAGCCTCACTGGTTGCCTCTTCACGAGGCCGCGGCAAAGCTGGCGCGCGAGGATGATCAGCAGGTCGTCCCAAGGGCCGTTCAAGCTGTCCTTGATCTCAAGAAGAAGAAAGGAAACTTAGAGAATTGACTGACTTTGCGGCGCCTCAGGCTCCAAAGGACAACGCGTTTCTTAAGAGCTCGAGCGTTGAATCTTCCGGCTAGCACTCGTTTCTTCTGCTTGTGCATGCGACTTGTAATTACAAATCGATCAATTACTTCGAAAAATTACGTCCTTTGCTGCTGGTTACCTTTTTTACATCTGCTGCACACGATTTGAATGCATCATCACCGAAGCAGTTGTTCAGCGTCAGCCTTCTAAAGGGAGCCACGTACGTCCAATTAGACAGCCGTTTTACTTAGAGTTCACGCACACAACATTAATCTATATTTTCAATTTTATATCATCCACTTTTGTTTCTCCTGTCGACTTTGCTGCTTATTTTCGGCTCCTCCGTGGACTGTCCTCTTTCCTCGTCTCCGATCCCGTTTTGTAGAATACTCCGGGAGGGCTTCTAAGAAATAAGCTTGGTCAAACACGTAAGAAAGGAAAACCAGGAACGAAACGGAGAGCAAAGGAGAAGGAACAGAGACATATCATACGTCGTGACATGGTAAACAATAGCAGTACAAGCGGAGTAAAAATCGTAAACTCTCTACCGAGTGGTTATTGTCTGAATTAACATCCTTGCAATTTTCAGAGGATTCAACGTTCCACCGTCCGCAACCAGGCTCGGGAATATTGATATAATGCGGGTGAGATTATGCCTGGATTTTTTTTTTTTTTTTTTTTTTTTTTTTTTCTTTTGTGAGAGAGAAAGCCGAACGGAACGAAGTTACAGCAGACTAGACTGGAGGGCCTGAAAAGCAACAAAACAAGGCCATCATGTCACACTGACGAAACTACGGATTTACTCGGGCGAACTCCCGCCACGGCGATTCGGACAAATGCCACAGAAGTAAATCGCATAACCCGGGCCTTGCTTTGACGCGAAGACCAAACAAATAATGGCTCTCTCTCGCTTTTCTGAGATCTAACTTAAGGTGCTGGCGGATTGGTAAATAGAAAGAAAAGCGTTGTGTCTGGCCCTGGAGTGCCTTGGAAGTGCTTTATGTAGCCGAGCTGAACACGGAGGGAGCCCAGAACAACGGGAACTCGTACTGTCAGAAAATAGGTACCTAGTAAGGCTGGAAAAAGGGGTACAATACGTCAGATCCAGGGCATAATAATACGCCGGGTAGCATGTTAAGCATGTCATGTAAAGTATAAGTATTTCAAAATATCTTCCATACCAAGCGTTTATCACCACCAGCGTCAAAACTAACCAGGGCTCCAATATCCTAGATGTAACGAGGGTAATATATCATGTAATAGGGCGTTCTCAACAAACCCCACCCGAGAGATCTACCAACTGCTGCAATGCAACCTGGGTGTGAAAAGGAGCAAAGAATAGCCGCCGCTAACTGAGACCAGCCTGGGATATCATGCTTTAACGCTTGCCCTACCAAACTGCAACGAATCAGCGTGGTAATTCGGCTCCGCGTTCGTTTACGGTGTTCAGGATCATGAAACCGTGGGGCGAATCGTTCAACTACTTTACAAACGTGTGTGGGGTCAGCGTTGCCTAGGACGATGCGTGCGCGTATCCGATAAAGGTACCATTTAGCGCCGCTTCCTTGAGGGTGTAATTGAAGTCATGTCGCGCGGAATGGAATGAAGTAAGCGGTAAGCGTCCGGAAGCGACCAGCTTTTCGAATAGTCATTTATCCTAAAGCAGAAATTGGATATGATGAGGGCACCGTTTTCGATTAGAGCTTGCTCTCCAAGGGCACATTGTTATACGTTCCGGTTATGCTGTGGGTAGGTTGCGCATGTAAATATGTACTGCGCACGTGGCAAAGCCCTATGTCTTAACTTATCATGATCCAGCTGGGAAGTTCTGAGGGCCTGAATCCGTAAATAAGAACGTCTCGCTTGGCTTTGACGAACTGGTGGCTTTCATCTTTGCCCTCGGAGAGTTGCGTTCGTTACCGAGGGACTAGCTGTCATGTATCCATCGTAACAGCAGGGAGGCTGATGAGATTACGGTAAGGTATTGGTACGCTGTGACGGTTAATGAGATACATATCCTTTCTAGCTCGATGTACCACGATCGACCTCATCCTTGTTCCAATCATCCCCGCCCCTTGCAAAGAAAATCACTCGATTGAGGGAGCCGAGCTGCCATTTAGGGCTTACCCCAGTGCCAACTGAACCATGACAAAGAGCTGGGTAATCCCTTCCAAGAGCAATCGATCATCCCAGTAGTGTAGATGCAGTTACTCAGCATCCAAGAACGGGTAAGGATCCTTCCAGCCCCATGTTCATCCAATAATGATTGACCTTCGAAATAGTTTTCCTAGCCGGAGAGTGAAGCTAGCCCCTTGGTATGACGTTTGCTCGACTCTCCTGAAGAATTGAACTGATTCCGTTCAGTGTCCGGGTGAAGTGCCTTGACGTTGTTACCGTAGCTAGGCCCTGTCCACGCCCATGTCACAGTAGCTTCCTTTTTTACCACTGCTCTTTTAGCGCCGACAGGCAAACGCCAGTCGCTTGAAACTACTAAATACAAAAAAGGGCTGACGGAACCCGGTAGGGGGGATTTTAGCTGACGAAATAGGAAAGGGTCTTTTCAATGCATAACTACGGAGTAGTTCGTAAACAAAGCTGCGCGTTTGCTCGTATTCTGCACTGTCGTGAACGTGGCTTCACCTGTTTCGCGCTTCAATGGAGGGGATGAAACCGCGGATCCGGTTACTGCAGAGCACGTGCTGGCTAATAATTTCATAAATCCGTTTTCGGGGCTGAAGGGAACAAGGAGGGATTCTTCAGACGTTCACGATTACGTCTCGTGATCTCCATGTTGCGCATACGGTCAATACGCATCCGGTAGAAATTCCTTCAAACCTGTTAGTGATTTCGAACATGGTGTGAAAAGGGGGAAGAGGGGGAAAATGGTGACGAAGGGCCAGAATGAAAAAGCTAGACGCATACTTGTGGAGAGAGAAAATGCGGGGTCCATCGTCTGTGCGTGTCTCTGTTCCGCTATTCTGGATAGATTTAATCTGCACCGCTCAGTAAACGTCTTCGTATTATTCTCGGGGAGAAAATATACGGAGTTCCCCCATAGCGCAACCAACAAGGCAGAAAAGTCCAGGCCGCCATGGGCTCACCTTCTCATCCTTCTCCTTTTCCGCCTTCTCATCTTCTCCATCCGCTTCGTCCTTCTTCTTGTCCTTCTTATCACCGCCATCCTTCTTGTCCTTACTCTTTGGCTTCTTCCGTTTCATTTTTTCCTCGTACTCTTGCTTCACTTTCTCGATCTCCTTGTCCATTTCCTCTTTCCTCTTCTTCGCTGCAACCTCCTCCTCGTCTATAATGGGCGAACAAAACCCACGGTCCTTCAAATGGATAGGGCAGACGTAGAAGTAATCCTAAAACACAGCGCCAACAGCGATAGCGAGAGGAGGTCGGAATTTTAGCACAGCCAGACTCGTCCATCAATACATTATCATTGCTGGTTGCAATGCTCACCTGTTTATCCGGAGTAACCAATACGCTAGAGGATGGTTTATAGCATATATCGCATGATTGTGCTGCTGTTTCGGCCACCTTGCGATGGTGCCAAACGTTAGGGAGCGTCATACCTAGTTAGAACGCGGTGCTCTGCTAAAAGTAAACTAATGAATAAGATATGTCGCATCGAGTGAGTTTAGCACAGTGATAATAATTACTCCATATAAGAGATGTTCTCTGATGCATAGCTGCTGTCCGTTTGTTTTGTAGGTGTGATGGTCGAGTTGTCGAATGTGGAGATACCAGAGCTTTTTCCCGCCAAGCCATGTGACCCCCGGAAACTAGCCGATAACGTACGTTACAGAGAGCTCGAGCAAGGAAGTTCACAGCCCCGTCTAAAGCGGGATGCCGGGTAGCATTACCTGGTACTCGGTATCTACAATTGGACTTTGCAAATTGAGATCTCAGGGATATTTTTAATAATAAATAAAACTAAATGGTCTCTCTCCTTCTCGTCGAAGGGCCCAAATATATGTAGCTATATATATATATTTAGTGTATCTATAGAGATTGCAAACTATCTGTAGATGGAAACAGGGTTTCAAAAAAATAAATAAAATAAAAGAGAGAGAGAGAGAGTATAAAATGAACATATCAAAAGAACATGTATCAAAAAATATCAACACAAAAATAGTCTTATCCAGATAGAGAAGAAGAACAAGCCAAAATATATTAAAGTATCTCAACAATCCTAGCTCACTCTATCAACCCCTCCTGAATTCCATCAAACGAGTCTTTCTCCATAATCCCCGACAGCAGACTCTTATTCGTATTCTGCGCCCGCCTCTTCGCATCAACCCAAATCATAAAGTCGTTATACGACTGCGGCATGACCTGCACGTCCTTCTCGACCAGGAACGTGTAATGGAACACGCCAGTTGGTTTCTTCGTCGTGTGCTCGGCATCGCGCACCTTTGAGTCAATGCGAACTTGGACTTTTGTGAATTTGCTGCCCCGGCTGCTGCTGTTATTGGCATTGGGAGCCGCGTCAGCGTTCGTGGCGGTGATTTGGGACTCGGTGTACGAAACAGTCGCTTTAAGATACAAGACGGAGCCGACGGGGACGGGATTGTCGAAGGTGCTGGGGTCGAGGGACAGGAAAGTTGGTCTTGAGTTAGAAAATGAGGCGGCACAGCAGAAGGCGAGTTCGAATGTTTGCTTCAGCAGGTAGCCGCCGAAGATCATGAAGTTGTGCCTGTTGCGGTACTGCGGTTGCATGATCTGGGCTGATTTGAGGATTGAATCTTTCATGTGCGTGAGATTTTTAGGGCGGGTGAGAGGATTTTGCGGGTCTGTTGGTATCAGGAGTTAGAGATTTGTTTAAACTAGTGACCTCGTACATGACATGTATCTGTTTTTTGCTCTCCTTTCGTTATTTATCTTGAGAAATTTCCCCTCTTTCGCCCTAGAAGTAACTGCCTGAGATGTGAAAACCTACTTAGATACGCCATCTCCTTCGTCCACATAGCATGAATAAGATCACTCTCCTCATCGTTCGGTGTTTGCTGAAGTAAACTCCTCGTCCTCAGCTGTTTTTTCGCTTTGTAATTTTTCTCCCCAAGCTCGAAAAGCCTCCTTTCTTCCTCCGTCTCCACAAGGAGTGGTGCAACAGCTACCGGCCTTTATACCATATGAAAGCGAGAATGAGAGTAAGTCAGCCCCTGAAATCTGAAAATTTTTTAGAACAAAAAATGAAAATAAAATGATACGAGCGTTTTTCCCACATGCGGGCAAAACAATGCATACTCAAACGCAAAGCGCAAACATACGCTTGTGGGGGTGCAAAGAATAGAGTGAGTGAGTGAGGGTAGAACCAGAAACAAGCTTCCCTCCCAATCCAAAAAAAAAAAAAAAAAAAAAAAAAAGGCAGAAAAAAAAAAAAAAAATTCACCAACCTCTTCGTCGCCGGATCCAACGAAACCATCGTAAACGCACACGTAATAAGCACATCCTCCTTCTTAACCGCCTGGCTTGGCACAGCCGGCGCCTTCGCAACCCGCAGCGAAATCTCCATACTTGAGCGGCCCGTGGCGTATGTGACTTGTCCACTGAGCTCCAGATCGCAAATCTCTTTGAGTGGGCGCTCGATGGTGATGCGGTCCACGGCGGCGGTGACAGTCATGACTGCGTCGCCAGTGTGGCCGTATGCGACGACGCCGGCGAGAGCGTCTAGGTCCATGAGCAGGGCGCCCAAGCTGGGCGGGTGTTAGGTTCGTTAGAGGTGGTGCTTTGGAGGTTTGTAAGATGGACTAGGATACTTTCCCCTTTTTTTCATTGGGAAAGGACGATGAGAAAGAAGAGGGGGCTTACCGGATATGCCCTGAGGAATTTAGATATGTATCTAACAGCCATGGGTCCTGGGCGAGAGGTAGCACCTAAGCAGAAATAAATTAAAATAAGTAATAAAAATAAATAAATAAACAATTCCTCAATCCCAATCCCGTATCCAAAACTAGACCGAACCGAAGCAAAAAGACATATCAAAATAAACAGAGAAAACCACTCACAGTCCGATAAAAACTATCCCCCATCTTCCTCGGCTTCAAATCCACTTTGGGCGACACACTCCCGCTCCCACTTCCACCCTTCCCCGCCCCCTCCCTCTCCAACTTCAACGCCTCAATCCACGGCATCTTCACGCGCCGCTCAGTCCACACTGGACGGAACGTGCAATTAGCAGCCGTCTGATGCAGCCGTCGCTTCTGTGCCATAGTGAAGCATGACGAGGTCGTTGTCGTTGCGGTTGTTGTCGTTTTTGTTGCCGCCAGGGGTGTTATGGAAGTAGCAGCTGGCTTTCCAGGCACCCCCTGCAGTGATAATTGGGAGAGGGGATGTGTGCATTTTTGATGTAACCGGGATTGGAACTGGGAGTGGTTGTGTGTGCGCAGTCGTAAGAGGCAGAGGCGGCTGTGCGCTGTGGTGGTATTTGATAACATGGTTCATCAAAGGACGTTGTCACCGGTGCTACTGCGCGGCGCGGCGCCTGGAACGAATGAATGAAATAGGATTGACCCTCGAGTTATTTACCGGTTATGAGCTATACTCATATACGGATACGGAGGTCGTGCACGAACATCCAATTAAACAAAGCGAATACGCTACGCTGCAAACCGATGAAGATAGAAGCTTGCTTCAAGGTTGGTTTGTCTGGGCCGGGGAAGGGAGAGAATGACATAACATGCGTGGAACCTGCATGCCAAGAAACAACCAACATTGGGTCGCGCTAGGCGCGCTTAATCCCTTAACCATCTTTTTGGAGACCATGGATCAGGCTGGGAGCCAACCAACCATATGGTGTTTTACAGTTCTAACATTAGGGAATGGTTGAGATAGTCAATTCCAGGTCTAACACACATATACTCTGTATATATCTAAAGAGATGATAATTCTTTTACAATGCAATACAATCGCGGACGGAGTACTTAACGCATTCATCGTTCGAACAATGGAACCATTTAGGTTCAAATCGTAATATGCCACGCCGCAATACACGCCTGCCTACGCCTCCGAGACTGTGCAGATGAAAATAGAAATGAGGACTGTATCCTTTGTTTGAAAAATATGTTCTCTTTCCTTCCTTCTGTATTTTCATTTTCTCCTTTTCTCCTTTTTCCCTTTTTTTCTCTGTTTCTTTTCAGATGGTGGTAGATAAATGAACCGCAAGAATCCTTCCATATAGCTAATAAAATATCTTAATGCACACGAGCCTCTGTGTACAAAGACATTGCAGAGCTAAGCTCAAAACAGAAGACTCTGCAAGATTGATTTTACAGCTTATTAATAAAAGAGATAGAACTGTAACTGCAGTGAAAGCATGTCTCTAAAGATGAAATAAGATTAACTTAAGAATGAGTTAAATAATAATATAGATAATTAATAAAAGACTGAAGAGAGATCTACAGAACTGAGAGATAAATTAATTATTAAAGATAATAACTACAGCTGTTTTCTTAATTAAGTTAAGAATAAAGTTAATAAAAGATATTCTCTATAATATCTGATAATACAGTAAGCTCTTTAAATAATAGTTTTCTTTTTACAGACTACTATTAATAAAGATATATCAGAACTATAAATCTCATAGTAATAAAATATAATCTTAAATAATATATCTATTTTAATAGACTATTTACAGACTGTAAGAAATTTCACTTTTTACAGATTCTTTATCTCTATTTTCTATCTCTTATATAATTAATAGAGTTAGCAGCTCTTGACTATATATAACTATATAGACTGAAGTTCATAAATACTATTTATAACTCAGCTTAAATACTATTATATATTTAACTTCTATATTTTATCTTTCTATTATAAATACTTCTAGTAGTTAACAGTATATATTATATTAAGCTGTAAATATCTGAATAATTATCTGTAAGTACTTATTCTTACACAGGCTTAAGAGACTGCTGTTAATTATATAAAGTATTAATATATCTAGAATGATAGAGAGAGTTCAGACTCATTTATCACAGAATCTATGACTGTAAAAGAATCTGATTTTACTATATATATTTATTTACAGTTCTACACAGTGTAAAGAGATAATCAGTGTGTAAGAAATCTCACTTCTTATAAATTCTTTATCTTTATCTCTATTTCTATCTCTTGTACAATTAATAGAATTAGCAGCTCTTGACTACATATAACTATATAAACTGAAGTTTATAAATACTATTTATAACTCAGCTTGAATACTACTATACATTTGATTTCTACATTTTATCTTTCTACTGTAAATATGTGATTTAAAGGTTGCTTAAGCCAGCGTACGATTACAGGCGTACGCCGGCTTCTTATATATTGTAATATTGTATGCTAATTTAATTAGCGGCTGCTATGGCCCCTTTACACTTGTATGTGTATACTAGTAGTTCAGAAGCGGCTGCAGTATTATCTGATGATTGTATGTTCTTCTGAATCACATTCTTTCTCATCAGATTCAGTCACACTCATGTGATCATATCATATGCTCTAGCTTCATGCAGATTAGCTCATCACTAGCATTTCATAATTATGTGATCTATTCCTGATTTAACTAGTATTCTGTATACATTCTCACAAAGAAACTTTCACTATATTATATTACTCATTCACTAACTTTTTTCATTCTTTAATCATCTTCTTCATTTCATCATCATCAAATACTATTATTATTCAAGATTTCTACTTCTTCTTCTATTCAACTCTTTCTATCTGTTCATCTATTACATCATATATGTTTCTGATAATGACTTCCTGTTCTCATAACAAGTGTCATTATAGTACTCATATCAGGCAGTTTATTAACAGTAAGTGTAACACATTGTGAAACATGATCAGAACTTGTTTATCTTCTAATAATCATCAGAATAATGTATTATCATGAATAATGATATATTTTCTTCATCTTCTTATACACTCTTAACTGTTTCTTCTTCTCAGCAGGTTTCTGATCATGTTTTCTAGCATAATTTTACATGAACACAGATGCTGATATGTTTGTTTTTATTTATATAGAATCTTCATGTATTGACAGATTCACATTCACTGATAATAGTGAATCTGATATGAAATTCTTGATTGAGAACTTAAAGAACATGATAATGAAGAAATTATCTGTGTCATATATGATCAGATCTTCTGTGTTCTCTCTTATCTCTTCTACTGCTTCTTTCTCTGCTGCTTCTCTCTCTGTCTCTTTCTCTGTCACTCTTCAATCTTCTACACTTGTCTCTGTATCTGATTCTCTCACTCTTGCTATCTCTGTTCCCATAATCTCTACTTCTGCTACTTCTGGTTTTACTATCTCTGTCTTTGTTACTAGCTCTCCTCATTTTAAGAAGATGTTATGTAGACTTGATAAACTATGTCTCTCAGTATATACACTTCTACTCTTCTTACTGACTCTCAGAATAATTTATTGTATAAAGACAGTGTACAATATAACTATCTGAAGCTCAGTCATGAACACTGATTATTACATTTATTTTAAATATTTATAATGAGATAATTATTTATTTATATCAGAGAATTATCTTCTCTCTTAACAGTATTGAAATTATAAGTCTTTTTCTTTTTCATCTTTTCTTTCTGATGCTGATTTTTCTGTTCTTAGAGAAAATTATTATGAGTTTTACTGTATATAAAGTCATGATATTCACAGACATTAAGAAACTTTTCATAATTATTAAATTCAATATTATGAGTATATCTGCTCTAACTAATATCTTTGAAATGATTGACTTATATCAGTCTATTCTCTAACAGTTGTTATTCAACTTCATGATACAGGTGAAGAATATCTGTGTTTTCAGAAATGAAAACATAAATATTATACTCTTTTATACTTACAGATATAAGACTTGTACACTTTATCTGAGATATTGTTATAAGAATGAGCTGTTCATATGCTGTGTTCTGCTTTCTGTATTTTCTCATATCTCTCTCTCTCTTTCTAAGAAGCCTTGTATGTATTGTAATTACATGTACAATTCTAAGGTCAGCAGGTATTTATTCAGTAATTATTACTTCTACTTTTATAATTTTCATATACTAATAATGATTCTTAATTACTCTGATATTAGAGATCATTCTGATCAAAGATGATAACACTGTCAAGACTACTTTCTTCTACTCTCAAGCTTCTTCTATTACTTTCTCTCTTTCTTTCTTCTCTGTGAAGAAGATTGTGTGCATACTGAGTTATAAGTGTTCAGTTCTGAGTGACTTCTGTCATTATTTATCTGATTCTGTGTCTTTTCTTTCTTCTGTTTCTTCTGTCTCTATCTTCTCTATTCTGACTTCTGATTCTGCAGGTTCTGCACTCTTCTTTAATTTCTCTACACATACATGTGTGTATTTCTATATTGACATTTCAGTCAATCTTGCAATAAATGACATTAATGTTGTATGCAGAGTGATAGAGAAATCAGAGATGTACACAGTATTATTATAAGAGTAGCTTACAGCTCTTAAATTTCTTACAGATCTCAAGTTTTGAGATTTTCTTTATTTTTGATGTTTTTCAGATAATGTGGCATTGAAAATAGATTAATATATGACATATGAAAATGAATAAGATATGTATGATAATATTTGTCTTTTATAACTGACTCTTACAGTTAATAATCAATTCATCATTTCTTTTCTTACACTTTTTCTTTATCTGCTAGTCACTACTCTTATATAATCTCTATATAATACAGTGTTCAGTGACTAGATTCAGCAGCTTTCATCTTTTATAATTCTGTCTTGTATATTATACTGTCTCTCTTTATCTGCTTAGACTACTACAGTGAATAACTTATTAAAACTAATCTCACTCAATCTCTGAGTGTTCTCAGAGATTGAGATGACTTAATCTTATATATTTACAGATGTTTCAGATAGTTCATTCTCTGTGATCTCTGTAATTGAACTGATATAAACAGTTGAATTTAACTCTGAATCTCTTTTTCTTCTGTAATCTGACTTATATATAAGTCTGCTGCTTTGAGACTGCTTTTTACTGTGTTACACTCACTGTTTGCAGTGTGTTATTATACAATCAGCTACAGTCTTATCACTTATTGAAGTATGATATTTATCTGATTTCTTCATTTCTTCTCATTCTTTTCTTATAATTGTGAAAAGATTGAAATAAGTGAGATTATCTGATTCATAAGTATCTATGATTTCTCTTACTTTATAAGACTTTTTAATTGTAAGTCTCTTCTTTTTCAACACT